GCCAACTTGGGCCAGTGAAGCAACGTCCTCCACAACTAGACTGAAGAACAAAAGGACAGCAACTTGTCTCTTCCCCTTCCCCCAATTCCCCAATAAAAAAATCTTTAAAAAAAATAAATAAATAAAATAAAAATAAAAATAAAATCCTGTGTCCCCAGAACCACTCCTTCCCAATGTCAAAGGAAGAGGACCTTCCTCTCTGGGTTTGGTGTGGTTAGTACACGAATGATAACGGCATGATCACGTCAACCAAAACTAGAAACAACCCAACAGTCCATCAGTGGATGAACGGATACACAAAATGTAGTCCACCCACACACTGGAATATTTCTCAGCCATGAAAAGGAGGGAGGCACTGAAACTGACTACAGTGCGGATGGACCTTGAACACACAGTGAGAGAAGTGAGAGAAGCCAGACACACAAGGCCACACAGTGTGCAATTCCATTTATGTGAAATGTCCACAACAGGCAAATCCACAGAGACAGAAAATGGTTAGTGGTTGTTAGGGGCTAGGGAAGAGGGATAGAGATGGGATTTCTTTTGGGGTGATAAAATGTTCTGGAATTAGTGGTGATGGCTGCACAACATTGTGAATGTACTAAATGCCACTGGATTTTACATTTTAATGTGGTTAAAATGATAAATCTATGTTATTTTATAATACCAAAAAATTTAAAATATCGTTAAGTCCAATGTGAGGTGTGTCAGGTAGCTGTAAGGCAGGCAGCGTTGGGGAGCCTGCTGGGAAGGAGACCTATCTTACACAAGGGCTCAGAAGGCCTCACTGAGAGGGTAACATTTTACCAACACCTCAGGGTACCGGCTGGATAATAGGAATACATGAGTTAAAACTTGGGTAGTACCAAGAACAGCACCTGGCAGTGTTGGCTATTTTTAATAGGGTGATCTTAAATGTGATGTTTTGCCTCTTCCCTAGGGGCCACAAAGTTCCTGGTGGTGCAAACGTCCTGTGCAAAGGCCTTAGTGTTGGAACACACTTGGTGAGTTGGAGGCCAACAGGGCTGGCTTGGAAGGAGCCAGGGAGAGTGGTCAGAGAGAAAGGGATCCTACATCTCAAGACTCTCTAGGGGGGGGGGTCCTTCTAGATGAGGTCTATGGCAGGCCCCAGAAAGAAGCACCCTGTTGATCAGAAT